CACCCCCCCAAAGAGAAAAATAAAAAATAAAAAATATATTGATTAATGAGATTAATTTGCTTTAGAACTGACTACCTTCTCAGTTTCGATGATGGTCTTTGAATACAATCTTTCCCTTTCCTACAAATGAATTTTACTTCTGCTGACTTCTTAATGGAACCAGGGTGTTACTATGCATGGGAGCCCACCTGGTTGGATCCTACATACTGTGAATGAAAACTGAACTGGTACTGTTGCTTTCTCCTAACTAGCAGGTTTGGGAATTGCCTGCCTGGGTTTGGATTTCCTTCCAGAATACGTTATGGTGTTTCAGCACAAATAAATGAGACCATGCACCCCATAGCTTGTTACAATGAAATGGAATTTATGTTTATGTTACCAACAAAATGGTTCCCACAAATATTATTGAAATTATCAGGCTTTTATTTGGGTCCTTCTCTGAAAGCACCTATCACAGTGATGCACATTGACTTATAATCATTAACAACAATAATAGATTTCCACAATCTGAAGAAAAGTGAACTGGTTTGCTTTTTGACACTGCAAAAAAATCCTTTGCTTTTGTGAATTCATATTTCTTAAACTGTTTAATAACAGAACCTAGGAATTGGTAAAGAATCATGAGGTTACTGGGGCCATCACTACTCCAGTTTGTATGTGGGTAGGGAATAAAATATTTATGATATTTAGGCCAAATCCACTGACATTAGCTAGCACCAAGAATAGTCTTTTCAGTAAAGAACATAGTGAGAAATCTGCCCTTCTTACAGCCCAGGTAAATGTGTAGTTACATTTGCACTTGGATGCAGTAGAGAAAAGGAAGCCTGAAAAACTGTAAGATAATACAGTGGCCCTTTACAGAGATGATAGCACACCTTAGATTTTTGCTACCAGTAAAGACAAAAACATGGATTGTCATCTACCCTCAGTACATCCTTAGTGCTATTATAGTTTGTATAGAATGACTTTCACATTGAACTTAAATGACAGCGTACATTATATATGACCTTTGTCTTTTCAGGCAATCTTCTATTGGTTTGGTTAAAAGCTTGTCCTACTCCCTCTCCCACACCATTTAGGAAACCATTCAGAATATTCTAAATAGTAAAAAGATAAAAACAGATTAAAAAAAGAAGATAACAGAAGATAAAAGCACACAGAGAAAAACCTCAGTAATGAAGAACTGATGCCAATTTGGATTCATAAATGAGGTTTGGTAAGCTAAATAATGAAAACAAAGTTTAAGCAAAAATTATTGCCATTTAGGAGCTCCTAAGTGGCACAGTGGATAGAGTTTTGGGCCTGGAGCCAGGAACTCATCTTTGTGAATTCAAATCTGGCCTCAGACACTTACTAGCTGTGTGACCCTGTTTGCCTCAGTTTTCTCATCTGTAAAATGAGCCAGAGAAAGAAATGGCAGACCACTCTAGTGTCTTTACCAAGAAACCCCCAAATGGGGTCATGGAGAGTCAAACATGACTGAAAAAAACCACTTAACAACAACCACCTTGCCATTTAAAGGAAAACTGTCTGAGCACTTTGGAAGCACCATTTCAACTGAAGTATTAATGAAGGGAAAACTTGAAGCACTTTGGAAGCACCATTGCAACTTAAGTATGAATTAGAAATGTTCCATATCTACTCTCAACTTGGCTATGCTTGTCAATTATTTGTTTATGTTACTGGCTGCTCTTTACCTGGGGAATGTGTCAGGAAAACTAGACTGAGTTCCAGATGTGCTGGCTAGCTAGGCAACTCTCGGCAAATTATTTATCTTTGCTGGGCTTATTTCATCATCTATAAAATGGAAACAACAAATGATTACTGCTCTACCTTCACTGAGAAGAAAATTGAAATTTAAAAAATCCCTTTGTAAAAAGAAAACAACTGCACACGGTTTATTATTACCATCAGATTGCCTCTCACAATTATTACTATTTTTCTTAGCAGCTACTTTTACCTCTCTAACTGGGGTGAAACTGGTCTATAGAGCAGAAGGGAAAATGGATAATAACTTCCAAATGGTGGGCTCATCCTTGGACCCTGCAAATGGCAACCAGGCCCATTGAGCCTGCTCCTGACCAACTATGAAGGATTTTTGAATGACTACTTAGACTATGTTAGTAACCTCTCTTCAGAGCATTCTAAAACTAACTTTCTTTGTTTCTTCTTTCTCGTGGTTCCTCCCATTAGTTCTAATTCTTCTTTACATCATGACTAATGTGAAAATATATTTAATATGAATATACAAGTAGGGACTATATCAGATTGCACACCATCTTGGGGAAGGAGAACAGGGAGGGGGAGAAAATTTAAAACTCAAAATCTTATGGAAGTGAATGTTGAAAACAAAAACATATAAATTATATATATAAAAAAACTAACTTTCATTTGCTTTCAACCAATTTTCAATTGATCAGACCAAGTCTTCAGAATAGTTTTTGTTATTACTAAAGGAATCCCTTGGCATGTGGAGTCAGGTAGGAATTAGGAGGACAGAACAATTGCACATTTCCTCCTTTAAAATGAAGTGTTGATGATTTTGCATTTAAGTAAGAATTCTATATTCCACAATTCAGATTTTTAACCATCAAAGTATTTTTCCCCCAATTAAATTCTATGAGTGTAAGACTCTGGGACAAAAAAATAGCAAAGTCTTGTTAAATTCTTTTTTAGATATAATCAATTAAATAGCCCCTCCCCCACTTTAATACCCCATTTTGCAACTCAATTGCTCACTAAAGAACATAAGTTTAGTGCTTCAAACTGCCATAGGGTTTGGGTTGTTGACAATAGATATTAATAAACATGCATAGGTAGCCTGTATTTCTCACCTAAGGATTTAGTCTCCTGAAAAAACCAGTCCTGCCTCTCTCAGAACAGGCTGGTGTCATCAGAAGAACATACGTCCAAGTAAGAAACTTTGTTCTTTCCATCAAGCTATTGCCTAGAGAAGTGAACAGGGAAGTGGGAGGGAGGTCAACTTTGTTGGGTTCCCTATTATTAAAGTACAAATTGGTTAGGGAGGAGGGGAAGGAGAGGAATAGAAATTGAAAGTAAGACTTTGCTCACTAGGAAAGTCAGAGGAAAAGATCTCAGGCTGAAAAAGAATGAAAGTCTAGTTAGGATTAGTGAAGACCAAGTTGGGGGGAAGAGGAGAGAAAAAAAATCAGGCAATCACTTTTGAACAGTTCATAGTCAATTACTACCTAGCCTTCTTAATTGGGAAGAAATAAGGATTACTCATTTAGGAATCATCATTATCCCTCAGAAGTATAGGTTGAATCCATAAGAGAAAGTAAAAAGAAAGTTACCTAACATTTATGTCTCTCTTGCCTCTTGATATGATTATGCTATCATTTAGATGGCACAAGATCTCTAGATGAAAATCACCAATAAGATAGAATGAACAGTTAAGTAGAAGATAAAGAATCAGAGGAACAGGCAGAAATACAACAACAATGAAGAACCTACAGGGTAAATAATGTAACGCAATAGGGATATAGAAAGGAAAAAACTGGGGCAGAGTTTTGTAAGCCAGGAGGAAATAGTAATTGAGGAAAAGGATTAATCTGAGAAAGTATGGGGTCAGCCCCAGAGTTTACCTACCCATTAGATACTGATTGGACTGTCTAAAAGGCAGGAAAAAATTTAGGAAGAAGGCAAGAAAGAAGTTTATAGAAAACCCAAAAGCACAAAATAAATACTTCTTATTTGTGGTAGTATGGCAAAAACAATTGTTAATGGTGTTTTATTGAGTGGTGAGAGGAAATAGGAATTAATTGCAAGTGTTATGAGTCAGAGAGATCGGGGATAACTTTCAAGCACATAGTTTTGGGATGGTAGACACAACAATGCTATCCTAGACTAAAACTACCTGCATGAACTTTTTCAGAGAGAGAAATTAACAGAGGAAACTCAGTTTTTATTAAAAACCAGAAATTTCAGGACTAAGTGAAGGACACATAGATTCATGATTTTCTGAAACACTAAAAAAAGTGTGGAGCACTTACATTTGGGAAGAACACAGTAACAGTCTAGAGAGTGGTACTTAACCCACAAAGCTGGTTAGTTTACACGGCTAGAGGACAATGCTAAGGAAATTCAACCTGTTAATGAGCTAGCTAGCTTTGCACAATAAAACACTTCCCTCAAAATCAGAACCTCAATCTAGTAAAGATTTGCCCTTAAATACAAGGGCAACTCAACAAGATATATACAAAGCAATGTGAAACCAGCTAGATGCACTCCAGAAAAACTTGAAGCTTGCAGCTGATTTAGTGGTATTATCTTCCCTCTTTCCTTTCCATGGCCACTGTGGTTTTTGAGTTACACCTCTCCATCACTGACAGTTTAATCTCCCTCCTGAATCTGATTAGTGATCTGGGCTTGCCCAACCAAATAATAAGCTAGGGCTGGTGGAGGCCTCTCTAAACTCCCTAAACACTTAGGTAGATTTGGGAGAAATTGACTGGAAGCTTGCTCAACATAGTTCCTTGATAAGTATTTGCTTATTGGAATGGACAACATGCCTTCCATATCTAGCAGGAGACAATAAGATTCCTTCACAGGTAAAAGTCATGGAGATTGTTGTATAGACATGGGCAGAGGAGGGGGACATTCTGCCCTAAGAGCAGAGATACAGAAAAGAAGGCAAAATAAAAATTTTCATACTCCCAAATTCTTCAAAATGGTGGAAAGACACATTGCTATGATGTCATCAGGCTGCATCAATAGAGCTGTTTTAATTATGCTGGACAGTTCCACATGAGTAAAATATACCCATACCTTCAAGGTAGTACTGAATAAGGACACCTAAACCAGGCTTCTTTTCTCTTTCCAGCCCTGGAAACTACAAAGGGCATCTAGAAAAGATTGCTTCTCAGGGGGCAGCTAGGTGGCGCAGTGGATGGAGCACCGGCCCTGAAGTGAAGAGGACCTGAGTTCAAATCCAGCCTCAGACCAAACACTTGACACTTACTAGCTGTGTGACCCCGGGCAAGTCACTTAACCCCAATTGCCTAAAATAAAAGAAAAAAGAAAAAAAAGAAAAGATTGCTTCTCCATCAATTCAGAGCAACTGATTTTCTATGTTAAATGGACATCCTATTCAACCAAAATTTTCCGCACAATGTCAAAGTCCATGCTAATGTGACATCACGACCAAGGATTTCTATAGACAAAATGGAATTATACAACATAGACGTAGCATGCATTGGAATAAGCATATCAGTTATGTGCTCCTACAACACTGACATTGGCATAGAATCTGTATGCCATAGTCAAAAGAGCATTATGTTAGAATTAGGGGATTCTAGAGTTACTGCAAGTCCCATCTCTGCCTCTTTCTATCTGTGTGACCCTTGACAAGCCACTGAACCTTTTGGGCCTCAGTTTCCTCTTTTATAAAATAAAGGGTTGGAACTAGAAGACCATGACCTCAAAGATCCCTCCTAGTGCTAAATCTATCATTTTATGACCGTTACTGATTTTGTCTGAGGAAATATGTCTAAACATCCTAAAATATTTTAGGTTTCTTTCCTTGTACATACTATTTGTAATAGTTTCTTCTTTTTTAATTAATCAGATTACACTATGACACCAGTAGAATAGGAAGTAGGCTGTTTTGTATGGATTGATTCTCAGTAGATGATTTACATGAGAGACACATCTGCTGCTTTCCAACTTAGCTAGGGTTCAGGGTCACCAGTTGTGTTTCCCAAGAATTTGCCTGTGGATCAATGCTAGTTGAATGCCTCTCATGAGAACGCTACATTTGGCCAGTAGAAAAACAGACACTATGCATGCAGCCTTGCATAATAAAGGTACTGGAAGACTAGAAAATAAGCAGCAAAATAATTACCTGTAAAGAAATTTAAAATCAGGTTTATGGGCAGTAAACCTATTCCTCATTTAAAGGAAGGTTTGAAACTGATTCAACTCACCAAGCATTTATTAAGCACTTACTGAGTCGAACAACTTAAGAAATGTTCCTTCAATGATTACAACAATCCTTTGATTGAAGCTATAGATCAACATCCTGCTTGGCATTTTGTTAAAGAGCTGGACACACCAGCAGAGATGAATTAGAAATTTTAGTGTCTTGGGCTACTGATCCTGATTGATGAAAGAAGTAACAGCAATGGTGCCAAAGAGTTAGCTGTTGGCTGTGGTGGGCAGCTTTGATAAGAGATCAGAGGCGAGGAGATTTGTAACTTGCTGCAAAGTGATGACGTTAAACCCCCCAGGCTATGTAGTAACCATGAAGATAATGCATTACTAACAATAAGGTTTATACCATATAAAAAATTCAGGTAATGATTATAAAGAGAAGGGACATAAGAGTAGAAGACTTAATCAAATCATGTTAATAGAACAGTCTTCTGAGTGACCTTCTATTTGAAACCAGAATTATTTCTGGGTTTCATAAATATTAGTATTCTGAAATGCTACAATGAAAATTCCAAGAGATACATATGATGTGGACTACTTACTATGTGTTAAATGAACACAAGCTTTTAAAAATCGCTGGCAATGGAAAAGACTGAAATAAGAAAAAATTTTAAAGGGGTCCACCACTGTGGATGGACATCAGCTATGGTAAAACCTGGCATAACAAAATGAAATGGATTTCAAATTTTCTGGAAAATAACTTGGTTCAAATTGGTTGTTTTCCTAATTTGATAAGGCTTCAAAAACCTGAATTCTGAGGGACCCAACTCCTTTTGTGTTTATTAAAAATTTCAGGGCACAGGTAACTAGGAAGAGGAAATGAGGTGTGTGTGTGTGTGTGTGTGTGTGTGTGTGTGTGTGTACTAGTAAGAGTCCCTTTATGTTTGTCAGGATTCAGGGGCCCAGAGAACACAAGAGAGAGGCCGTATCCTACTAAGTTGAACTGAAAATGCTCCGACCTCCATGTTCCAAATAAGGTGGATTACTAAGAGGCAGATCTGTACCACAACATGCACTCCAGCTGATAGAATAGAGAGCTCCTTCTGAATCGCTGGCAAGAATTAGGAAAACTCTAGTTTGCCTTATTTTCCCTCAGGGAGATTATTTAAATACCTCCAGTCCTATCAAATCCTGGACCAGAAGGCCATGGGTAAAAATTTTAGAGAAAATTCCAAGGCCAACTTCTGTAATATTTTCTGAGCTTTGTTTGTATTTGTTACTGTCCCCACACACCAAACAGAAGAGATAGCTCAGCATTTTTTTCCTAATAAATTTGCTTGACTAGGAAATAAGTTGAGTCAAGGCTGCTAGTAAAAGCAAAGGCTCAGAATTGAAAATGATTAAATGCATTAGCACCCCTGCGAACAGTGGATCAGTAAGGTTGCTCTTTGGGGGCTGAGGGTTACAGGAGCTCTGCCTTTACCATTTTAAGAACTTCAAGACAGGGTTAATCATTGAGGAACTAGATAGTTAATTTCTAAAGCTACTTGGCTCAAGTTGCCAGTTCTAGTCAGTAATAGGCCACTGTGCTAAACAGAGGAGAAGTGTGTATTCCTGATCATCCAATACTCGAAAATACCTTGAAGCAGCCAGAACAACTTACAATTCACCACTTATACAGTCATAACATATACAGAACTTCAGGCTCACAAAAATATACATGTCTTAAAAGGAGATCTAAGGCACACCAAAGACTAAAATAATTCAATGTATTTTCTTATATATGTTCAAGAAGCAGAAAACTTCTGGTCCAAGATGGTGGTCCAGCATTTTGACCTTTTTTGTTCTTTATAATCCCTTCATATTCCTTTATTTGAAGCAGTCAAAAGCTGGACACAACACCTTTCTCCACAGGGTATTTGCCAATCCTACTTAAGACAAATAAGTTACAAAGCGTTCAAAGAGAGAGAATGAAACTCCAATGAGGGGTATACAGGAAAAAAAAAACATTTTTTTAATTAACAAGTTCGTGTATTTTCTGCACCCAAACTTTCAGTATTAATGGTTGTGGTAGATTCCTATGGCATTCCCAAGGAAAAAGCACCATTAGTTTAGATACTAGCAAGTAACCTAGACATTTCGGATTTATTTTGTTATAGCACCTCTACATTATAACACAGTCAAATACAGCATTAGTATAATTCTTCATAGACAAAAGGTTTAGTTTAGATAACCTTACTGTTTGGCTATAACTTCTATTCAATAAATAAATGTAAAAATGAAAAAGAAAAGAAGGTGGGATTCTATAGTATTTAGTAAATGGAGTGTCTACTTTTTCTATTTTTTAGAACAAAAGTAACCTTATTTATTTGGTGAAACAGAAGTTTTCAAAAATTGGGAGCAAATGATTCAAAATTAAAACAAAGTTTACAACAAAATGTAAATCAATGTTTTAAAATATTCACAGAAGTTCCTCATGAAGGAAAACAAAAAAGACCTATCTGAACTGAGTTAGCATTCGTCCTGACCACTGAACACTTCTGTAGGACCTTGTTTGATGCATTTTATATATACAATGAAAAAAAAAGGTTTTGTTTTTTCATTTGAATCCATTTTTCTCCCATATCAGTAAGAGTTTTCAGAATCAACAACGCAAGTCTAGGGCTTCTTTACTTATTTAGTTGCTCATCCCATACCTTCTGGGCTTTAGGAGGATTTGGTGGTCTACTTCACCCATCTTTGTTCAGAAAAATTCTTCACTGATGAGGACGGATGAGAGTTTGGTTAGATTACTAACTGTAAGACTGCTCAAAAAAATCAGGGAGTTTACCCTAAAAAAGCTCCCAGTATATTATTTAACTCTCAATAATGACACCAATAAACATTGGTAATATATTTCCTAACTTCGATTTTGTAGACAACAGTTTTCTGCATTGCTTACTGATTTATGTGTATCTGATATCTTCAATGAAAAAAAGGTCAAATAAAAAAGAAACACCACAAACCACATACATTATTAGTATACATATTTCAGTTGTAGCAATATGGAACTCTACACAGCAAGAATAAAATGATTTCTTTTGTAGAATATGCACAAACAATAGACAATATGATTCTTATACTATACTATTTCAAGTTAATTTTAAAAATAGAAAGTGCTTTTAAAATATATATATGTATATATATTTACAGTTTACAAACAGCCTCCAACCATCACTAAGGATAACAACTGGGTCATTCTATATGATACGAGAACTCTTTCCAGAGAGAGGGAATTTCATTGGTAATTTATGAAGGTATAAATGGACTTTCACTTTTAGCACAATGATTGGAAGTTGTTGGAACAATGGCACCATGAAGTAATAATTCAGCTTATCTTTCACTGTTTCAATGTGGTTAAGCACCAAGAACTATGGAGAGCTAATACTGTAAAACTTGATTTTTACCTCTTAAAATAGGAAAGAATCTGTTAAAATCCTCTAAAAATGATTTTTCTTTCATAGTAAACAGACTCGATTTAAAGCACCAAAAGTATAAATTCCTAAAGGTCATAAACTGAATCTTTCTATCAAGGTTAATAACCTAACCAAAACTTTTCTTAAGCAATCTATTAAAAACTATAAAATTTCTTTTTTTTTGTTTAAAATGTGCTTAAGCACCACTCCACCAATGATCAAAATATAAAGTCACATTTAAGAAATCACTCTCCCCCCCTTTTTTTTTTACCTCAGCCTTAAAATGGTTGAGATGAACAAAGAGAAAACTACAACTTGACTCTTTTTTTTTTTTCAACAGCACCTTGAAGTAACAGAACATTGCATGGGGACAAGATTCTGTGTTTTAAAAGCCTTCAGACCCAATGATTATAGGGTCCTGCGACTTGAGTGAGGGCATAAGAAGACACTGTAATGACATTGTCATGAGTTACTGTTAATGCTTTCCGGGAAGGAATTTGGTTCAATTCATTTTCCTCACAGAAAATCTCAGGACTCTCAGTAGGCTGTTTGGTTTTCTGGTTGTTGGCATTTTCAGTAGCTAGCCTTTCAGCTTCTCTCTCTTTCTCTCGGGCTCTTTCAGCCATCTTTGCCTCCCATACAGCCCACCCATGCCTTGGTTCATTCAGGTTCTTATGCTGATAGAAGACAAGGGAGATCCGTGTGGGATGGTTGCGGTTTGGCTTTCGGATGGGGGTCGTGGCATGAAGCTCTCGCCGGGCACACTCAATTAGCACCGAGCCATGGGAAGGGGCCACTGCCACTCCCCCAATGTTGTCATCCAAGAAGTTGTGTTCACTGTCTGACCACATCTCTTCTGATTTCTCTTCACTGTCAGCTGACTCTGTCAGCTCATCACTTGGTATCTGCTCAGCAGCTGATGGGAAATGAGCAGCTAGCTCAGGCTCTTGTCTGCTGGCATTCACCAGGGATGAAGCCAAAGCAGAAATTTCACTTGGACCTGTCTTGTGCTCATTGTCTAATTTCACTGGGTTGGAGTCACCAGGGCTAGCTATCTGAGTAACGGGTGGCAGTAATGATGGAGGTTGAAATTTTGCCATGTTGGAAATTAGATGCTCAACTGGGCCAGTAGGAAGGTCAGCATGAGTTTGGGGATCTGTCATGGTGGAAGTCATTCCAGGAAAAGATGCTGGCTCAGCATTCAGTAGAAGTCCAGGGCATTCCTCAGTTACTGCATTAGCACCACTGTATTTTGTAGAAACCACTGTCCAGGGTGGAACACTACCCTGATCTGAAAACCCGTAGGAAATTTCAGAGTCATTCTGAAATGAAGTTGCTGCCAAGCCAGACACAGGAGTCAGGGAGTTCAGAGGTAAGTTTGTCCCTTTCAATGGGTGATGAATGGATTTGATCCAAGAGTAGCTTGTAGTGTTGGCCACACTATGAAGGTTAAAATGTGGGTCTGGAAGTTCACTCTTTATGTCAGGTTTCAATGCCTCAGTTTTGCTACCTATACGAAAAAGGAATGACAAAGAGGGGGAAAAATCATACCAAAACATGAATAAAAACTGCTTTTCTACATAGTACCCAATAAGTAAATGTTTCTAATGAAGTGTGCTACTCTTAAATTATTTGGCATATGGTTTTTAAAATTGAGATCATAATATTTGGACTTAGAAAGGATCTTCAAAATCACCTAGTTTGAAAAAGTCTGATACTTCATGCAATGATACCTACTCATGGACCCAGACCTCTGAATTGTTTTGGTTGGTTTTATTGGACTGTTTTTTTCTCTTCTTCTATATATGTATGTATGTACGTATGTGTATTGTGCATGTATGTATGTCATAAGGGAGATGGCTCTCTCGGAGGGCAAGAGTGAAAGGGGCCACCTACGTGATGAGATAACAAAAGATCTCTACAATCTATTGACATTTTTTTAAACCTGCACCTTTTACAGACGATAGCTAGCTGAGGTCCAGGGAGTAGCAATGACTACCTGTGGCCACACAGGTAGGAAGGAGCAGAGCCAAGGCTCAAGGCCAGGGGTCTTTCCTGTCATTCTATTGTCTAACATTTGCTGATTTCTTCCTAAGTGCATCTCCATTTTGAGGATCTTTGATGTCTTCAGTGAGGTCTGGGGGAAGTCCTAAGGAATGGAGGAGTCAAGAGGTTAACAAATTTAAGAGGATCACAGAGTTACAAAGAATCAGAGGCAGGATTTGAATCCAAGCCTCACTGGTTCTAAGTCTGGCAGCCTATCCACTATATCATGATTGCCCTATTGTTCATGTCGCTGTGAAAATGTGGATACAGAAACACACCTCAAACTGCCAACTGCACCTCACAGACAGTTAAGACTTTGTTAAATGCAGAGTGGACATAGAATTGCCTTGATGTAAGATAGAGTAAGAACTGTCCTCGTCTTTGTAAAGTTTAGAGGAGTGCAATTGGAAATTTAGTACCATAGTTGCATCATCTCCCTCTCTGAGCCTCATATTTCTCATTGGAAAAAATAAAGTATGCATGTATATGCATACGTGTGTATGTGAAGGTAGATAAGCAAGGGGGGCATGGATTAGATGATTTCTAAGGTCCCTACCAACTCAATGATTCTATTTTAAAAAATATAATCCTATAGAATATGCTCTCATAGAAGAACTATGAGCCTAAATTCCACAGCAGGTGAACACTCCCATAGACAACGTCATTCATTCCAGTCAAGGTAAAGCTACCTTTTTGAGAAAGGGACGGTTGAACATATTTAAGTAAAATGAGAAAATTGACCATAAATAATGATTTCATTGAAAAAAAAATTCTAAAAATACGATAGATTAAAATGCCTCTTTTTAAACCCTTCATTCACTAGGATAAAATAATAACCATGATAATAATTTCATATGGAAAATTAGATAAGAGCCCAATAACCATCACTTAAAGCTTCTTTTCAACAACTCCAAAAGACTCATGATGGAAAAGGCTGTCCACATCCAGGATTCTGAATGAAGATTGCAGCATATTATTTGCTCTCTCTCTCTCTCTCTTTTTTTTTTGTTTCTTCTCTCTCATGGTTTCTCCCATTGGGTTTAATTCTTTTTTACAACATGACTAATGTGAAAATAGGTTTAGTACAAATGTATATGTTGAGCCTATATCAATTTACATGCTGTTATGGGGTGGGAGAGGAGAGAGATGGGGAGAAAATTTGGAACTCAAAATCTTATGGGGGACAGCTAGGTGGCAGAGTAGATAAAGTACTGGCCCTGAAGTCAGGAGAACCTGAGTTCAAATTTGGCTTCAGACACTTGACACCTACTAGCTGTGTGACCCTGGGCAAGTCACTTAACCCCATTGCCTAGCAAAAAACAAAAATAAAACAAAACAACAAAAAAATCTTATGGAAGTGAATGTTGAAAACTAAAAACAAATAAATAAATTTATTATTTTTTAAAAAAGCTTCTTTTCCATTCATTCTTCTTCTTTTTTATTAATTTATTTTGATTTATCAATAATCACTTCCATATGCTTCTGAGTTTAAAATTTTTCTCCCCCTTCCTCACCACCACCCTCCCCAAGACGGCACACAATCTGACATAGGCTATACATTTACATTCCTATTAAACATATTTTCACATTAGTAATATTGTAAGTAAAAATTAAAACCAATAGGAGGAACCATCAGAAAGAGGAAACAAAACTCAACAGAAGAGAAAAAAAACAGCAATTCAACTTCCATAGTTCTTTCTTTGCATGTGGATAGCATTTTCCATCACGAGGCCTCTGGAGATGTCTTAGATCCTTGTATTGCTGGGAAGTTAAGTTTATCGCTATTAGTCATCGCACAACATGGCTGTCACTGTGTACGATGTTCTCTTGGTTATGCTCACTTCACTCAGCATCAGACCACACAAGTCTTTCCAGGTTTTTCTGAAGTCTGCCTGCTCATCATTTCTTATAGCACAATAGTATTCCATTACATTCATATACCACAACTTGTTCAGCCATTTCCCAATTGATGGGTATCCTCTCAATTTCCAATTCTTTGCCACCACAAAAAGAGCTGCTATGAATATTTTTGTTCATGTGGGTCCTTTACCCTTTTGTGTGATCTCTTTGGGATATAGCCCTAGAAGTGCTATTGCTGGGTCAAAGGGTATGCACATTTTTATAGCTCTTTGGGCATAGTTCCAAATTGCTCTCCAAAATGGTTGGATCATTTCACAACTCCACCAACCATTGTTAGTGTTCCAATTTTCCCACATCTTCTCCAACATTTATCATTTTCCTGTTTTGTCATGTTGGCCATTCTGATAGGTGTGATGTGGTACCTCAGAGTTGTTTTGATTTGCATTTCTCTAATCAATAGTAATTTAGAGCATTTTTTCATATGACTATAGATGGCTTTAATTTCTTCATCTGAGAACTGTCTGTTCATATCCTTTGACCATTTATCAATTGGGGAATGGCTTGTATTCTTATAAATTTGACTTAATTCTCTATGTATTTTAGAAATGAGGCTCTTATCAGAGAGACTGGTTGTAAAAATTCTTTCCCAATTTTCTACCCTTCTTCTAATCTTAGTTGCATTGGCTTTGTTTGTGCAAAAACTTTTCAATTTTGGGGGGCAGCTAGATGGCACAGTGGATAGAGCACCAGCCCTGAAGTCAGGAGGACCTGAGTTCAAATCCGGCCTCAGACCAAACACTTGACACTTATAGCTGTGTGACCTGGGGCAAGTCACTTAACCCCAATTGCCTAAAAACAAAAAACAAAAACAACAACAACAACAACAAAAAACCAAATCCCTACAGATGGGATGCTATGCAGGCAGCTAGGTGGCGCAATGGATAGAACTCCGGCCTTGGAGTTAGGAGGACCTGAGTTCAAATCTGGCCTCAGACACTTGACACTTACTAGCTGTGTGACCCTGGGCAAGTCACTAAACCCCGATTGACTCACCAAAAAGCAAAAAAAACCCAAAAAACTAAAAACCCAAAAAACAAAACCTTTTCAATTTAATGTAATCAAAATTATCCATTTTGCTTTTCGTAATGTTCTCTATCTCCTGTTTGGTCATGAATTCTTCTGTTCTCCGTAGATTTGATAGGTAAACTATTCCTTGCTCTCCCAGTCTGCTTATAGTATCAGCCTTTTTATCTAAATCATGAGCCCATTTTGACTTTATTTTGGTATATGGTGTGAGATTTTAGTCTATGCCTAGTTTCTGCCATACTCTTTTCCAGTTTTCCCGGCAGTTTTTTTCAAAGAGTGGGTTCTTATCCCAGAAGCTGGGGTCTTTGGGTTTATCAAATAATAGATTGCTATAGTCATTGACTACTGTGTCTTGCATATTTAACCTATTCCACTGATCCACCACTCTATTTCTTAGCCAGTACCAAGCTTTATAATACAATTTAAGATCTGGAAAATAAAATAAAATAAAACTAAAAATAAATAAATAAATTTATTATTATTTTTTTAAAAAGCTTCTTTTTCATTCATTCTTCTTCTTCTTTAAAAAAAAAAAACAACAACAACCTACTTTATGAAGAAGTTGGATAGGCAAGCAGAAAGTCTTAGTAAAGGCCATGAGTGGTGTGGGTTGGTAATTGAGTTCTCTATTCCTCAGGCACTTTGATATTTATAGTGATTTCTCCATTACTCCACATCAGAATGACAGTAGTTAATTTATACAGTATTGTCAAAGGAATGAAATATTCCACTTAAATGAATTTCCTTCCTTTTGAACTCTAAAGCTAAATTTTAAAAACCTCTTTTGACAAATCTTTTAAAAATACATTTTACATTTTGTTGCCATAGGGGACAGGGACAGGATCTGAGATTTCCTTGATGTCTGATGAGGAAGCCTCCACCGCCAATGCAAGTCAGTATTTTTGTTGTATTTCCCAGTCCTGGAGGGCAGCTTAGAGCACGCAGGATTAAATGTCTTGCCCAGGACCACACAACCAGGAGGTGTCTGAAGCGGAGCAAGAGCCAAGGCTTCCCGGTTCCAAGGTCTGTTCACTTTCTACTACGTCTTATTAAACGTAACTCCCTCCATCATTTACATGACAGAAAATAACACACAATGGAAGTAAGCAGCAGCATGGATGCTGGACAGAGGGCTGAACCTGGAATCAGAGGGTCATTACTTCTGATAACAAAACCTCCACTAACGTATTCTTCAGATGGCTCATCATGGCAGAGAGAAAAACCTGGATTCTTCAGGGCTATGCCTGTGAAGCACAAACTCTGGGCAGGACATAGAGTATTAGATTTGGAATCATAAAGACCTGAGTTTGAATCTGCCCTTAGACACTTACTAGCTGTATGACTTCGAGCAAGTCACTTAAACGCTGTCTGCCTCAGTTTCCTCATTTGTGAAATATGGATAATACTAGCAGCTACTTCACAGGTTTATTGTGAGGATCAAATGGGATAACTTATGTAAAGCACTTTACGGACCTTAAAGTATCATACAAATGTGATTATTATTATTACTATATTACAGAAAGGCTTCAATAGTCCTAAGGACAGAAGTCCAACTTAACTACTGTTTAAAAGGCCTATTTGATAGGAAAGAGGGCCACCAAGTAATGTACTTTTTTTTTTTTTTTTTTGCTTTTTGGTGAGGCAATTGGGGTTAAGTGACTTGCCCAGGGTCACATAGCTAGTAAGTGTCAAGTGTCTGAGGCCACATTTGAACTCAGGTCCTCCTGACTCCAGGGCAGAACTCTATCCACAGTAATGTACTTTTTAGCCCACTGCAATCCATAAGATTTTACCAAGGCTTAGAGGAGCTGTGGTCTAATAATTTATAATAATAATAATAGTTAACACTTACACAGCATCTTAGGGTTTGCAAAACACATTGCTGATATTATCTCATTTGGTCCTCACAACAACCCTGGGAGGGAGATGCTATTGTTATTATTCTCATCTTACAGATGAATAAACTGAGGCAGAGAACAGTTAAGTAACTTACAATAATGGAGTATCCACGTAGACAAATTCACAGACCTGTGAAGTGGCAATGTGAAGACTCAGAATCTCATGAAATCGCTCTGATATTTACCAAATACAGGAAGATGCCAAAGCTATGATCAGTTCAGTGCAGCCCTTGATGACACAAATCAAGTTCCTTGAACTCTCTCCCCATCGAGCATTTAAAGACTTTTTCTCAGTCTCCTCTTTACATTCAGACATAGCTAGGTGGCACAGTGAGGCAGCTGGCGCTCAGTAGATAGAGTGCTAGGCTTGAAGTCAGGGAAACCTGAGTACAAATCCAGCCTTAGATACTTCCTAGCTGTGTGACTCTGGGCAAGTCACTTAACCTCCGATTGCCAGGACAAAATGATCCACTGGAGAAAGAAGTGGCAGACCACTCCAGAATCTATGCCAAGAAAACCTCATGGCCAGCATCAGTATGCTACAGTCCACAGGGTCATGAAGAATCAGGCACAGTGGATAGATGGCTAGGCCTGGAATTAGGAAGAGCCAAGTTCAAATCTGGCCTTAGACACTTTCCAGCTGTGTAAACCTGGGTAAGTACTTAACCTCTGCCTGCCTCAGTTTCCTCAACTGTAAAATGGAGCTAATAATAGAATCTACTTCCCAGATATTTGTAAAGTACTTAACACAATGCTGGGCACTTTGTAAATACTTGCTTCCTTTTTCTTTTTTGTCTATTGACCCAGACACCTGCTTTGAGATCCTAATAAAGTTGTGATGCAAATGATAGTGGGTAAACCACAAGATTGCTTGCTCTTTACATGGAAAAGATCAACCCCATTTCCCTCTAGAAAAAAAAAAGAAAAAAAAAGAAAAAAGGAGAGAAATTGACCAAAAAGTGATGAGAAGAAATAAATATAAGATAAAGTGAAAAGGCACACAAATAGACTAAAGGAAAATTTTACTTGGGCTAGAAAGAAAGACAGAAACAAGGGAAAACAAAACAGGACAGAAGGAAAAGGACAAAGACTCTCATTGGTGAGGTTTCAGGGCTGATTTAATACTGTGAAAACTATCAGCTTAAATGACCAGATCATTAACAAAAACTGCTGAGGTTTCTACTTTATGAAGTGATTATTGCAAATGAAACAATTGGCGCAGACCCACAACCTAAAGAAAAGCAGAAAGTGGAGGCTCAGTTACATCAACTCATTTTCTCGCTACTTGGAGAAGTCTTCACGTAGAAATGAAAATAGAATTAAAGGGGCCACGCCTCAGAGGCCCCTCTGAGATATCTGTGTCACCTCTAGAATCCCAGGGAAAGGCAGAGGCCTAAGCCACCATTAAGGAGGTGGGGGGACGCCAAAGCAAAGGTCATGAAGCATTTGCACAGAGAAGAGTCACCTCCATCTCTTCACGACCCTGAGGAGTGAGTGGCTGCCACGCTGCAGACCAGATGTGCGCTTTCACAAGTTTTCAATGGCCTCTGATGCCACTCTTCCTGATTCTCCTTGCTAAAAGTGAGCTCTCCCTCCTTCAATCTCACAGAGCCGTTTGGACTTCCCTTATCAGATTTATGGCATATGATTCTAGTCATGGGTACCGTCGTGAACTCTGCCAGGCAGAAGGTAGGAACTAGTTTTTTTCATCTTAATCTCTCCTAGTACTTTGCACACATTAGGTAAATACTCAATGCAGTGAGTAAAGGGAATTACTATTAATGTGATATACAACCCAAAGAAAGAAATGAGAGTCTTGGAATGAAAAAATAATGAAATGATGGAACTGGAAAAACAAAACATATCTAACCAGAATGCCAACTTTCAAGGGATAAGCTTTGGGTTGAAATGTAAAACAAACAGTGAAGAGGGTCAGACACAGACTGATACCTGGACACCATAAGAGGCCAGGGAAAAGCTGCTCTTGCATCCTCCCATTCTGATGGCCAGAGCCAATGCCCAGGGCTGGCCAGGAGCTCCTAAGAATCCAGTGTGATCTATACCTGCTCATCTGTAACGTGGGGAGAATACCCCTCAAACTCAGCTAAATAATCTGTAATGGTGAGATGGTTAAGAGAGGTGTCACAAAAAAGTGAAACACTTTGAATGCAATCATAGGATTGGGTGGGCCATAGTCGAGGACCACAGGGCCCCAAGGAACCTCTTCTTCCTGCCAGATCACATCAACTTTGTATTCCCTCCTTTTCCTCCTGGGATCCCTCTGTATGGAGGAGGGTGGGTAAAGCACAGAGAGTAACTACGTCTCTTATTTTTCACTGTTTCAAAGTAGTTAAGCACCAAGAGCTGTGGAAAGCTATTATCACAAAGCTTGTTAGAGACTACTTCCTCCTCCAGCTATGGTGGACTTAGGAGGTGACCAGGTGAGGCAGTGCATTGACTGCTGTACTTTTGAGGGAGAAAGATCTGAGTTTGAATCCGTCCTCAGATTCCAACTTAGCAGCGTGACCCTGGCAAGTTACTTTACTTTTCTGAGGCTCAGGTTTCCTCATCCATGAAATGGGAGTGACAATAGCCACTCAGCAGGGTGGTGGTAATGTTCAAATGAGAGAGTATTTTGCTTTGCGAACCATAAAAGTATTATACATGTACTATCCAGAATTCTTCAATAATTATCCACATAATTCTACAGTAATTAATAATAATAACTCATCATTGGAAGTGTTATAAAGATTTACAAATCATTTTCCTCCCAACCACCCCATTAAGTAGGCAATTCCAATATTGCTGTTCTCATTTTTCAGCTGAAGAAACTGAGGTCCAGGGAGGTAACTTTTACAAACAGCATCAGATCCATGATTCTAATCTAGCTCTTCTAACTCTGCCTGAGAAAACCAGGATGTGTTTGATCATTTTCTCAATCAGGCAAAGGAAGATGACATTTTTTAAAGGAGGGAGGGGGAAGAAAATCAAGTGCAGAAGATCTCCCCAATTCTTAAACCAGTGGCTTGAGTTCAGTGGAGTGCACGTTGATTAAGCACTTGCTGTGTGCAGAGCACTATATTGTGCTAGGGGAAATACAACCTTTAGATAAGCTAATGTCTTCTCCACCTTCCTGGTGCTGGAAGAATGACCAAGTCAGTTCTGTGCTACTCACCTAAAGGTTGGGGTGCCTTGGTGCACACTTCAGGAGGCCCATTTTTGAACTTTACTGGAGGTGGGTGTTTCTTTGGCACCTGGCCAGGCTTTTCAGCCGGCCCCCTCCTGACGTCCGCCTTCTTTTTCTTAGAGGCTCTCACTGGCTCTGCTAACATCCTCACTTCTCTGGGGAAGGCGGTGAGCACCTGGATAGCCCCCGTTTTAATCTTGGCTTCTAATCCTTCTTTTGTACCAAATTCATCTGTTTGGGAAATTTTGTAAAGTGGCAGCACATGGAGCTGCTCATCTTTGGGAACCACACCCACTGACCGGTTGTCTTCTTTTGTCAATGTACAAACCTGTGAAGAGAATCACAGAGAGAGGTATCAAGGCTGAGAGCCTTCTAGGTACCAGGGCATCTCCATGGAGGACTCTTGTTTTCCCTTAGGGGCTTTGAAATCACTCTTCAGGTCCCCAATAGTAAGTCAACTCGGGATACTTGCGATACTCAGCATGTTTTCCTGTTTCCAAACATTGGTTTCTATTGAAGTACTATACTAGTCAATACACATTTATGGAGCGCCTGACATCCAAGGAACCTTGCTAAACGTTAGGAACACAAATAAAGTAAAAAATAATTCCTGCCCTCGAGACATTTACAATCTAATATGGGGAGACAACATGGACACAATTGCCCATCATATTTGAAATTCAGAGAAAGGCAAATAAAAACAAACAAACAAACCAGTGTTTCTCCTGAAGAGCTCACAGTCTAATGGGGTGTGGGGATATGGGAACCTTGTACCAATAACTATGTACAAACAAGACATTACAGCACAAACTGGAGATAATCTTCGAAGAAAGTCACTGGCATTAAAGGGGCCAGGGAAATGCTTCCTGGGCAGGAGGAAGGGCTGTAGCTTTTTGCCACAACTTTTCTTGAAGAAAATGTTCATGAAGAGACAGGGGGAAAAAGGATTGTTTCTTAGAGTAGGACGCTGAGCTAAAAGAGAATGTATTTTATTTAACCCAAGTGGTCCTCTCAGACACCAACTCCAGCCAACATTAATGGGAAGAGACAGGGCTGAAAATGCCAAGGAATCCTTAAATGACCATGTTTGGCTGTAAAGCAAAGGAACTCTGCTGGTTACTCTGTGATACCAGAGGCTGAGCATTAGACAGAAGAGATGGGTATGGTCTTATTATTCTGGCAGAACTGATATATCCACAAATTTTCCTTCTTTAATGTTTAGGCCAAACTAACACTTGTAGCTAAAACATTAATTTCAAAGAAAATATAAAACCAGCATCAATTAATCAAGCAACTCTTGGTTCCAATTCTGTACATGAAATCTCTGCTTCCCTTCCCGATTCCAGTCCAGGCCTCACTAAATGCCTTTCACCCAGACCTGGAGGCCTGACAAGCCCTCCCGCCTCTGCTGGTCCTCAGCCAATAATTGCTTTCCAATCTGGAACTATTTCAAAATGGAGGCTTGAAATACCCAGCTCCAGTGGCTTCTTGACCTTATCCTCTGCCCTGCTCCCATTGGGACTTGCTCATGTTTTTGATAGAGTATTTTCCTCGAGAGGAAGCTCAGCTTAGTGGATGGAAGGCCAGCCAGGAAAAGAGGAAGACTTGGGTTCTAATCCTGCCTCTGACACATACTGACTCTGTGACTATGCACAAACTAATCCCTTGGTGCTCCCAGACAACCTCCTAAGAATCTAAATTACAGACTGGTTATGCATCTGCAACTGGAAGGGATTGCACCACTGGCAGTACCCTATGAAGGTAATGAAGGCGGTGAAATCCCAGGCCTAGGTAAAGAGCCGTAAACATTTACCTCATCATAAAAATGTCTCACAATCTCACACATTCCCCTCAGTATCAACCAATTTGTCACACCGAAGAATTTTAAATAAATGATTAGAAGAGGGGAAAAAGGGGAGAAAAGAATTTTTAGCCTTCTGACTTCATTAGAGAAGCTGAGAAATTGCTTTCTTGCTTAGAGACCAAATGAGAAACAGCCATTCTGACATCATTCTGTATCTTCATGGTAGGATGCCACCTTCCTAAACTTGAGGCTGGTGGGGTTCGGTCATTAAAGGAACACATAATTAGGTGATGGCTGTCTTATTTGGGAAGTGGGTGCAGCAGCAGCTAGGGTAATGGTAAATTTGAAGGCCTCACATCAAGGAGAAAATATTGTAAGTAGCCAGAAAGCAACCATTCAAATATTACAGAGCCACAGTTAGGATCACACAAGATCTAGCAGCTTCCACATAAAAGGAGTGGAGGGCTTGGAATATGATATTTCAGAAGGCAAAAGAGCTAGGATTACAACCAAGAATCAACATTTAATGAAAGAGGAAACACTAAATAAAGTTAAACTGTTTACATTCCTATATAGGAGGATGATATATGTAATAACTAAGTACTTTATCATGTTTAGGGCAGTTAGAAGGAGTCCACATAGGCAGAGGTCATGAGTATGAGTGATTATTTTGGAATAATCTCAAAAAAATGAAGGCATGACAAAGAGGGATGCATTGAGAGAAGGGGGAAGAGAGGTAAAATGGGGAAAATTTTATCACATAAAAGAGGTGCACAAGAAAGAACTTTTTTAGTGGAGGGGGAAATGGAGGGTGGTGGTGGTAGGCAATTCTTGAATCTCACTCTCATCAGAACTACTTCAAAGAGGGAAGAATATATCTACAAGTTGGGTATAGAAATCTTTCTTATCCAATAGGAAAACAGAAGAGGAAGGGGATAAAAGATTGGTGGAGATAATAAAAGGGAGAGTGGATTAAGGGAGACAGTGGACAGAAGCAAAAAAGATTTTTGAGGAAGGACAGGATAAAAAGAGGACAAACAGAAAAAAAATAGAATGGAAGGAAATACACAGTTAATAATCATAATTGTGAATGTGAATGGGAAGGGTCATTCATAAAATGGAAGCAGATAGCAGAATGGATCAGAAACCAGAATCCAACAATATGTTGTTTACAAGAGACACATTTGAAACAGAAAGACATATACTGAGTTAAAATAAAGGGCTGAAGCAGGATCTATTATCCTTCAGCTAAAATGAAAAAGGCAAGAATAACGATCATAATCTCAGACCAAGCAAAATAAAAACCAGACCTAATGAAAAGAACTAATCAGGGAAACTACATTTTGCTAAAAGGTACAATAGACAAGGAAGTAATATAAAAAAATTTTACAAAAAGTTTCTCTAATAAAGGCCTTGTTTCTCAAATATATAGGAACTGAGTCAAATTTATAAAAATAAGCACCATTTCCCAGTTAATAAATGGTCAAAGTTTTTAGAAGAAATCAAAGTTATCTATAGTCATATGAAAAAATTGCTCTAAATCATTATCACTTCACACCTATCAGAAATGACAAACGCTGGAGGGAACGAAGGAACATAGGTATGTACGTGAAATAACTGTTGGTAGAGTTGTGAACTGGTCCAACCATTCTAGAGAACCATTTGGAACTATGCCCATAAGGCTATAAACTGTTCATACTTTTTGACCTAGCAATAGCACTACTAGATCTGTACCCCAAAGAAATCAAAGAAAAAAGGAAAAGGACCTACATGTACAAAATATTTATAGCAGCTCTTTTTGTGGTGGCAAAGAATTGGAAATTGAGGGGTTACTCATCAATTGGAGAACGGTTGAACAAGTTATGGCATATGATTATGATGGAGTACTAGTGTGCTATAAGAAATGACGAGGAGTGTGGTTTCAGAAAAAAACATGGCAAGACCTACAAGAACTGATGCAACGTGAAGTGAGAAGAACTGGGAGATCATTAGCACAGTAACAGCAATGTTATAATGATGATCAACAGTAAAAGACTTGGCTGTTCTGATCAACTATCAAGATAATTCCAAAGGACTTATGATGAAAAAACACTATCCGCCTCCAGAGAAAGAATTATATCATTTTCTCACTTCCTTTATTTTTTTATTTTTAATGATATGGCTAATATGGAAATATATTTTGTGTGATTTCACACGTATAATTGATAAAATTTTTGCTTGCCTTCTCAGTGTGTGGAGAAGGGGTGGGAGGGAGGGAGAGAATTTGCAACTCAAAATTTAAAAATAATGCTATTAATAAATAAATAAATAACGAATTGGGGGAAAAAGTTGAATGGGCTGCCTCTGGAAGTTGTCAATTCCCTCTCATTGTGGATATGTGAGCATATATATCTTTAATTAAAGATCAGGTGATACCCTGCCAGGATTGCTGTAGAAGGGATCCTTTTTCAGGTATGGATGCAATTAGATGGCCAATGAGAGCCTAACTCTAAAAGTCTGTGAATCTGTGAAATTTTTAGGAGTGTACTGATTTCCTCTGTCTGTATAGACTAGATGAGCAGTTCTCAACATGTGATATGAGGACACTTGTGAGTCCCCAAAGTCCTTTCATGGGGCCCATGAGATTAAAGCTATTTTTTACAGTAATACTAAGATACTTTAAATTCTAATATGATAAATACTTATAGACATAATACACATAAAGAAAAACTCTTTGGGGTCCTCAATGATTTTAAGCCTGGAAAAAGGTCCTGAGACCAAAAAGTTTGAGATCTACTGGACTAGATATACTTCTTACTGACTAGATAATCCAAGACTTTCATGGGTTTTCAGCAACTCAGAAAAATAAGTAGAAGTGGGTTGAGCAGCAATATAATAAGTACTTGTGTGGGTTTTCTAGATAAACTTTATGGTGAGACTTCTGATAATTGCATTACAGAGCATCTCAGAACATGTTTGGAGTCTGAGAATCCAAAGTTCTTTCTAGTCTAAGTGAGAAATCACCTGGTATCATGTTGACTTTTCCTGAAACATCAAGAATTAGAAGTATTGAACTCAAAAGAATCTCACAAAGCCTTCTTATTTTGCCAGTTTGAGGAAAGCCTTTGCCTGTTTCAATACGTGACACATCTATAAATGTATTCAATGGCAGAAAGTACCAATTTTAGCAATATATTCCCTCTTTTAAACCTTTTCATCTCCCTCATTGCCCATTAAAATGAATTGTGCCAGATACCATGCCATGCTTGTGATCAGTGAAAACAGATGTGGTGAGAAGAGGGCTGGGCATGAGCACCCTGAAAATAAAGCACATTCCTGATGGAGTCCATCAGTTTGGACAGCAACCTCCAAAAGCATCGCGATGCTCCAGAAACACTTGAAATTTTCCTTGGAGGGTCTCTCAAAATATTATACTTATTTTGGCAAATATCCTCCTATCAATGACAAACTCTCTTAGGGTGAGAAGATCTGTTAAGGGACTATTGCAAATTCCAGGTAGGTGTAAGATGTATTATTAGAGTAGTGGCAATGGGAATAGAGGAAATGGGATGGATTTTTACAAATGGTGCAGAGCCATTGTTAATAGGACTTAGTATCAGATTGATGTGTGAGTTGAGGAAGAGGAAAGATTTAAAAACAACTTCAACATCCTTTCCAGCTCCAAATCTATGATCCTGTGGTACTGGATTTGGAGTAAGGAACTGGGTTTAAATCCTGTTGACACTTGTACAACCTCACCAAATCACTTAGCCACTATGGATCTCAATTTATTCTTCTATAAAATGAGGAGAGAGGTAGCATGAAAGGGCATTGGCTCTGCAGTCTGAAGACCTGGGTTCAAGTCCTGCCTTTGAGGCTTACTAACTGTGAGACCTGGAGGAAGCCACTTAACTTCCCTGAGCCTCCATTTCCTCCTCTGTAAAATAAAGAGGCATTATTTGAGGACCCTAGCTCTATAATACTATGATCCTATGGTTAAACCATCTCTAAGGCCCATTCCAATTCTTGGTCTATGAACAAGAAATGCTGGGGAAATGGTAGAGCCCTAGACAAATCCTCAAGTCTGAAAGGAGAAGCAGGTTGTGGTTTCTGGGCTTTTTGCTCTTTTCAGGAAGGGAGGTAAAGGGAGGGTATCAACTCCAATGGCAATGTAGCAGGATCAGGGGCTGTGGCCTTGGAAGCCAGAACCACTAGTCAATTGGAAACAATTACCACTACTACCAAGGCTGTGACATTACTAAAGTAAGAGCAGCACTGGGCTGCCATGATTGCTGGATCTCCATCCTGGTGCAGGTTGTGGCTGCTTTTCTAGTGGGCTTCCTTGTTGGTTTTGGCTCCACTCATAGCTGTCCTGTGAATCATCTGTGTGTAAGTAATCTAACATTATCCACTGTAACTGACATTAAGGATCATTTGGCCAGCATAAAGTTAGTCAGCTTACAGAGAGACGTCATGCCTTACAAAAAGTTTTCAAAACATTCTGTATTTGTGACAGCCCGCTGTAAAACATAGGAAGTAGAAATATAGGCCCCTAGAATACAAAAGAATCCATACAGCACCTTGTTGTGGTAGCAAAGAAAGAAAAAAGTGGCTGCCCATCGATCAGGGAATGTGAAATAAATTGTGATACGTGAATGAAATGATGAATATGAGAAATAAAGAAAAAAATAGGTAGTGACAGAGTGAAGTAAGCAGAATTGGGAAAATGACACGCGTGAACACGACAATGTACATGAACAGAAGAATAAAACAAAACTGAACACTGTGGTATTATGATGACCAATTTTGGCCACTCAGAAGAGACGAGAAAATGAGCCCATTCTTCAGGCAGCTAGGTGGCACAGCGGATAGAGCGCTGGGCTTGGAGTCAGGAAGATTTGGCACAAAGTAGGTGCTTCATAAATCCTCACTCTTTTCTGTTCCCATCTCCTCCTTTCTCTTTATTGTAAGGCAAGTCTCATTAGGCAGGGTGGGGTGGGGTGAGAGGAAAACGAGGCAGGGGACATATAGGGAAATGACTGTGATGTAAAAATAAAAGGTTTCAATACAACCTTTTTTTAAACTCCTACCTATCATACCTATCCATCTCCAAATAAATTGGCTAAAGACATCAACCAACATCTGCCCACAGCAAACACGCTTATTTCTCTATAGCTCAGATACACTTCCAGGAAAAGTTTTCAAAAAGTGAAGAAAAAACAGGTAAAGTTTATTACATTTCTTTACAGACCACTTCCTGACTTTCATAAAGTTTTCTGTCTGCCTCCTTCCGGGTCCATCTTAACCTTTTAGTAGTCAATGAACATTCCATTTTGTCTGTTTTCAGAGCAGCATCCATACATACATGCATCCATACATACATATGTACATCAACCATTAAGGACAAATGCAGATCCTTAACATGAGTTCATGCATAATGACATCAAAGCTTCCAGATATTTTCATTCCAATGTCTTTAAAATGTTCTGCACAAAGCAGACCATATTAATTCAAGTTCAACTAAATGATTCCTGGTGTTACCCTAGCCTTTGCCAATGGGATCTTTAATTCCAACATCCACATTCATAAATTCGTGGTCTGCCCAATTTTCAGTGAACTATCTTGAATAGCCAAGAAGAACTGTCATCTACACCAAAAACATTTTTATGGTAATCGCAATTATTTTACCATTCAATTTAAAAAAAAAAAAAAAAGGTTTTTCAAAGGAAAAAAAAGTCATACTTTAAGATTTTGGATACTACTGGAAAACCTCCCTCTAAATGATTTCCAGACAGAGGAAATGCCATGGTATATCAGCCAAAGCAGCACAATTAGATTCACTATCCAGGCACTTCACGAACATTTTGGTTTGAAAGCAGGTTATAATGAACTTCATGGTAGAAAACAACCTTTATATTAATAATTAACATTGCTCATGAGTAATTCCTAGAAGTAAACACCAAAAATGATTATCTTCTCAAAGGTTACTATAGGAGAACCAGGATGGATTTGACCTTTTGGGCAAAGGAAGGAAGCATATTCGGGCAGTGGTCCCAAAGCATGACCTAGTCCAGGTACCTAAAAGGGTTCCAAAGAAGAGGAAAGGATGATGACGATAACCACAATCATTACTGATGAACATGACATCTGCACTCCACTAGAAGTGGTGGAAAAGACCTTCCTCAAGTTCTTTGTCCTCAAGACATGCTCATGGGATCATATGGTAAAAATGAGAGAGACAGTTCAAGTGGTCCATTGCTATTTTGTGGATACTAAATAGTCAAGACCGAGGCCTCCAGCATTTTGGGTAGATTTTCCATGAAGGATTCATGGCAAAGCATGGGCAAGAACTACACAAGGTGCCAGGTTTGGAGGGGCTTCAATTTTTCACAGTGGAAGGAGCACCCACATAGATGGAGCTATGAATCCAGAGAAAACAATGAGAACAGGTAACACCAATTGGCAAAACGAGCTTCTGTTCTGGATTTGTGTATCACTCCATCCTCAGAAAGTGAGGTTTTTCAATTTCCAAGATACCACAATAGGTCTTTTAAGGTCAAAGGCTAGTTTAAACAGACAATTTTCTTGCACGACGTGCGTCCTTGCTAGCACAAGAAATGTGTTTTGCCATCACCAAGTACATGTTAGGGCTCCTCTTGAAGTCACACAAGCTCCTTGAGGAGGGGGACTATTTTGTGTTTTTGTCTTTATAACCCTGGTGCTGAACCCAGAGCAATGAACATAGCAGACAATTGACAAATGTTTGTTGAATTGAATTTCAAATCATGAAATTGTTCGAATAGCTTTTGATGACTTCTGAGTGCTTAAAAAATGGGTCAGAACTTCAACACAAATAAGAAATGACTAGGAATAAACCTGGGGAAAGAGTTTGCTGGGGCACATTAATGCACTGATGGTGGAACTGTGAACTAGTCCAGGCATTTTGAAAAGCAGTTTGGAACTATGCCTACAGAGTCACTCAACTATGTGTAACCTTTGATGCAGGGATATTGCTACTAGGCCTATACCCCAAAGAGATGAAAAGAATAGGACAAGGACCCATCTGTACAAAGATATTTATAGCAGCTCCTTTTGTGGAAGGAAAGAACTGAAAACTAGGTGAGTGCCCATTAATTGGGGAATGGCTGAAGAAATTATGGTCAGTGAAAGTAACAGAATATTCTTTATTGTGCCATAAGAAATAACAAAAGTAACAATTTCAGAGAGACTTGGGAAGACTTGTATGAACTAATGAAGAGTGAAATGAGCAGAACCAGGAGAACAATTTATACAGTAACAACATTGTAAAGGCAAACAACTTTGAAAGACTCAGGAATGCTAATTGATGCAATAACAACTATAATTCCAGAGGACTGATGATTATCTGTGCTATCCATCTCCTGATAGAGAATGAACTCAAGATGCAGAATGAGATAGACATTTTTGGACATGACAACATAGGAGTTTGTTCTGCTTTACTATGTGTACCTGTTGCAAGTTGTTTTTTTTTCTTTCTTTTTCCAATGGGTGAGGCGAGGAGGGTTGAATGGGAAAGAAAATGAATGTTTGCTAATTTGAAAAAAAAAAGATTAAAAAAGAGAAAAAAGTTTTAAAAAGTGATAATTTGCTTTAGACATACCACAGTACTTCCATTATTCATGTTATGTGTGTCTTTGTGAGCATGGGCACAGAAGTCTATGCAGGCAGTAACCCCAGAGAAAGGACGTCCATCCTTGCGACCAAGACGGCAATCTGAGCCAAGGTGTTCATTTTCTACCTGGAAAATAAGGTCAATAGAATGATCTGGAAGTGGCATTAAGAAACTTTAGTTTTCATGGTAGAATAATTCTGAATTGCCTCATCACTAGTAAGAAAAAAAAATCTTTTTTGCATAAAACAAACAAACAAACATAGTGTACATTTACCATCTGTGTTGTAGAAAACAATAATGACTAGATTAGCAGTATTTTGGGAGATATTTTCTAAGTATAAGAAGGGCAGCTGAGGACACTCATGGGGACGGTGCCAAGGGCTATCAATACCAGACTTTCAGGCAAGAGTCCGAGCTGCTGTTATGCCTAAGGGCAGAGAAGAGAGGTGCCTCTAGTGGAGCCTCTCAGGGTAGTGGCAAGAATGCTGGCTTTGGGAGCAAGAGGCATTTGGTTCTGGATGCCACCTCCCGCACTCAGGAGCCATGAAATCTGACAAGCAAATGATGTCATCTCTGTGAGCTTTACTTGGCTATTCTGTTAAATGGAATTAATAGGCAGGGACCTGCCTCGCAGCGTTCTTGTGATGCTCAGATCAGTTTGTGTAAATATCAGTTATTATTGGGATACAGGAAGGACAGCAATATTACAATGGAGCACACAAGTGAATCTCACAGGTTACCCATTTTGGGGATACTTTGGAAAATGTGCCTGTCATCAACTGATAGGTTCATGAGCCAGAATGCAAAGTGGTTTACAGTCAATGCATTTATAACCAGAGGACAATAATATTTACTATGAAATAAAAGCATTTAACTTACTATTTCCTTTGCTTTTTATTTATTTTCTGTCTTCCTTAACGTCACCTTTTCCTCCTTCTAAATACGGCTCTGCCTCTCTCTTCCTTAGTCTGCTTCCATTTTTTTTGTTTCCCTCAGACTATTTTTTTTTAAAAGACTATATATTAGCAAGATTATTTTCTTCCTGCTTTCATCTTTCTAGGCTTTGCCTCTTTAATGGTGCTCTTTAAGCTTCTTACTTTTATCGTCATTGTTTTTCTGTTTGCAATTACACATTTTCATTCTTTGCTGATTTTCTTATTTTCATTTTGTTTAAATTTTCCTTCTCTCTATAATACTGTTTTCTTAACCCCTCTCTACTCTGACCTGTAAAAATAGTAGAAAATACAAAAACAGATTTGTTAAGAAAAATATTTTTATTATCAAATGCAAAATAGCCCTGCTGGACGTAGATAAAAAAATTACTTCTTAGTAAAGTTATTTTCATTTCAATTTAGGAAAGACTGATAGTGATTGATGTTGATCAGGCATTAGAATTGAGCAGGGCACAATTCCAATGATGCCAGAAGGCAAAAGCATTGGAAGTCTTCGAAACAGGTCCAATAGATCCATCTTAAAAAGGATGTCCAACTTGGTGAGTTTTTCCTAACTCACATGTGTTAATAAGAATTTTGTTCAAATGTAGGAGGTTGAAGTATATTAAAAGTGAATTCTCATACCATAATTGTCTCTGTATGAATCTTTAAGACCCACCTGGTTTTGGAAAGCGTCTGGAGCAAGTTTCTTATATACAGGAGCAACATCTGTAGCGAGGGTTTGCAAATTACTTTCAAGGTTTTCTTCCTGTGTAAAAAGCATGATATGCATCAATTATTCACTAAGGATGGATGGTAAATCAATCTCGAAGTAGGCAATGTTTCTCCTCCCCAAATGTTTAATCCCTTTGACCTTTTATTCTTTTTTTTTTTTTTTAAGGCAATCGGGGTTAACTGACTTGCCCAGGGTCACACAGCTAATAAGTGTCAAGTGTTTGATCTGAGGCTGGATTTCAACTCAGGCTGACCTTTTATTCTAAGAAAAGATATTCCAGGAAGAAGGCATTTGTGGCACTGGCAGCCATGATTCTGGGTCTTACTCAAATTGATCTAGCCACACTATCTTCTGGCCTGTAGGTTCAGGAACCTCAGGGATGCTCAGTGCTCACGTCACCACAGGCTCAAATTCCCCATTCTACCTCCAGAGATCCCTGTCTAGTCACCTTCACTGGAAGCCCAACATGAAGACGAGCCTTCTTCCAGCAGCGTCGGAAAAAATGACACCTTCCTTGAGGTCAACTCAACTCTGTCGAAGATCAGACTGAGCAGATATTTGTAAACAAGACACTTGCTACACTTGTTACTTAATACAAACTGTTAGTTTGTATTAAGGCAATTTAGCATTAGTGTAATCCCTTCTTCAGAGTCAGAAGCAGAAGAGAATCAGGCAGTGAATACGGAGGGATTCCTGGTTAGTGCTTTACAAACCATGAGAGTGGCTGCTGAAAAGAAGCTGTGATAACCAATTTACAAAAGCTTCTGTTTTGGGTCTTTAAAGCATTTCCCGATATAATTTAAGTAAAGTGAATCACTTCATATATTTAAACATAAATGCCACTCTAAGTAAGCCCATTAAATCCAGTCAGTCTGGTATTCACTCTCTGACAGGGGCACTAATGGGTGCTCTGTTGGAAAGCATGGCAGCCCTCCATGACTTACTTTTATAACCATATTAACTCTAATTTGTTTAGTGCAACCTATATATTGTTTCTCAGTATTCTTTGACTTTTTTTTTCTGTTTTCAGCTACCATTTATAGATAATTTTGGAAAGGTCAGGAGCCTGAGCATCACTGGGTTGTTTTCTTTAGTTCCTTTGAAAAATCAACAACAACAATAGCAATGGGGATAATTACAACTCTCATTTCTATAATGTTTCGTGGTTCCCAATGCACTTTCCTTATACTGACTCTTGAGTGGTGGTAGTGCATCTTACAGTTGAGGATTCTGAGGCTTGGGAAGGTCAAATGAAAGGCCCAAGGTTACAAAGGAAGCACCGAAGCAGAAGCTTAAATTAAGTTTTTTCCACTGGTGCTCTTTCTATCGGACTTTCTCACCTCAGAAGATATTAGTAAAGTATGGCTTAGTTTGTCATATGATTTTGAGTGGAAAGGGATTTTAGAGATTACTTGGCCCATCCCCCTCATTTTAATGATGAGCAAAGTGAAGCCTCCGCTCTCTCCACACTGAAATTGGCCTTTGATCCCCCTTTGCCTCATTCTATGACAAGATGTAAAGTGTTAGCTTTTTAAGGATTTTTTCTGTTTTCCTTAATTTTTAAAACCTTCAGTTTCGGCTGTGAATAAATGCGGATGATTCACATACTTTGCTTAATATAGATAACAAAATCAAATTTTATGGCAGCTAAAAAGCTAGATGCATCTTCTTAAGTATCTTTCAAAGGAGCTCTGATACCACTGTCAGCACAAAGCCCTTCCTGATTCTCCCAACTGTCTGTATACTCTCCCTTCACTTATAATTACTTTTTTTTTTTTTGGCCAGGCAATGGGGTTAAGTGACTTGCCCAGGGTCACACAGCTAGTAAGTGTCAAGTGTCTGAGGCCGAATTTGAACTCAGGTCCTCCTGACTCCAGGGCTGCTACTCCATCCACTGTGCCACCTAGCTGCCCCTTCTTATAATTACTTGTACTTATTTTGTAGTCATATTGTTTTATCTGTGCACCATGGTTTCCTCCACTAGAACGCAAGCTCCTTGAGGGTGAATTATTTTATGTCAACAGGATCCGAAACAATACCTGGCATGGGTGCTTTTATCAAATGCTTGAATTGCAATGAAATCACTCCTTAATTCTCCATTCATTCTACTATCTTATCAATGTGGGTTTCTTTCCCACAGTGGAGACTGGAACCCATCCCACACAAGTCCTGTTCAGCTTCTCCAAATTTGCCATACTGAGTCGGTGCAGCGGGTTTTTGTTGTGTTCTCTTGACACCGTGGGAATACCAATGTAGCAAGAGAGCTGGCTTGCACCCATCAGTTAGGCTCTTGCTTTGTGGCCAGTCCATCTTCTTCCCCGCCATACGCTTCTTTGTTGATATCTTTTCTACTGCTTCTCTTGCACAATTAGTAACTAGTCATGTGTTCCATCCTGCTCCTATCTGCCACCTCTGTATTACCTTTTGATGATCATCAATTTCAATGCTTTGGCTACTACAATAGTATTAGAAATAGTGACTTTAGGTGATTGGCAGCAGAGTCTTTAACAATGAACCAATCTTAGTAATGTAGAAACAATTCTGTTGCCAATGATGGAGTCAAACCATAACTCACTTGCACTGTTTCTTCGGGTAAATTGCATCTTGGGCAGTTTGTGACTTATATTTACTGCTCATAGCCCCCGTGTTGCTGAGGGAGGAAGTTAGTCATTTCATTTTGTCACCTGACTTTATATTGGGACTGAAAAGAAGGTAAATTTGTGACAGGGGATGCTACTTTTATGGGAAAGATTATGAGAGAAGTGTGAGAGTGACAAAAAGTATTGGGCCAAGAGTCATGAAATGTTGGCTTTAACTCCAGACCTGCCACTACTTCAGTGTGTAACCCTGGACTATTATTCCATCTCTCTCTAAGTCTTAGTTTCTCTCTCTGTAAAATGAAGTCATTGGATTTAGATGTTCTCTAAGGTTTCTTCCAGCTCTAAAATTCTGTGGGTCTAAGAGCTGAGGTCATTTTAAGAAAGATGCACTTGTTACCCAGAAATATTAGAATTACGGATGAATTTTCATTAATTCTTAAAATAGCAACATTTGGATATCACAAGAATTTTTCTGGATCGCCTGAAAGCACACTCTGCTTGTTCTTGGTGTAGCCCTTGGTGGGAGACTTAGAGGCACCCAGAGCATCCTTTCATGGGGAGGCGCTGCCAGACTGCACTTTACGGTCATCAAATACTCTACGTGGAGTTGTCATCCAACAGAAGTGCACCAAAATATTGTGTGAATGAGGAGGAAATGAAACACTTTTCTAGATAGTAGCATAGATTTACCAAGTCCTTATGTCATCTAAGAATTATCCACCTGCTCTGGGTTTACTTTCCATTTTTCTCTATATTTAAGAATTTTCATGGTGACTTGGGTTTATACCATGTTAAGCAGAAATGTAAATAACAAGATTCTTTCTTACGCACATTTTCTTAAATAAAAACTCTTCCATATTCCATATCATTCTTCTCTATTTTATACTTCCTTAAATTCATGCCCACTTCATTATGGACTTTTGTTATTTTAGGTGTTATGATCAGTTAAGGTGTTGGAAAATTAATTGGGTCAGTGAAAATGAGCAAGCTATGCTAAAATAAGGTATGGTCTGTCTGTTGTTGTAGAGTGTAGGAATTCTCTTACTTCTGTTTCATCAAGACAACATTCTGGGAACTGCTAAGTGAATATGCACAGGGAAGAGACACAAACACACACAACCCTCCTTCCCCCCAAAAAAGAGAAGACCTTAGAATCATTTAATGAATTAACTTATGCTTTTCCCTTCAAATTTCCATGGTTTTGTGATACTAAGTTAATAAGTAAGTTAGTCTCAGATAACCAAAGTAACCCCTAATTAAGATTGAGAAACAGAACTTACTTCTTTGGGATCATCTGCAATTAGTCGAAATCTTCTAGGGTTCTTGCTTCTTGCAAATTTGCAGCCATTGAAATACATGCTCCAAGAGCATCCAAAGGAAAAGGATGCACCACAAGTTTCTGGATCCAATCCTTGGCATGCACAGGTACGACTACAAGATGGGTAATTATAATGTAATAAGCAGGTAAAGCCAGGCATCACTTCAGGCAAAAGAGTCAGCATGTGACCTAGAGCAGGGCTTCTTAAACTTTTCCTACTCCTGACCCCTTTTGCAGCAGGCATGGTTGGCATTGCGTGGTCTGAGAGCATACGTAGTACTAAGTGCACATGCTTTGTTTACAGAATCAAGGCTGCAGTGAAGTTGCTTGATGCAACACTGGTGCTACCAGAAACACCTTGGATTCATTACGCGTTTGATTTTTAATTAATTTTTGGTCATTTAGCATTCAAAAACCTTTTACTATTGCCAAATGGGGTCACCACTCACAGTTTAAGAAGCACTGATAGACAATAACTAAGGGCTAAGGCATAATTTACAAGACATATTTGGGTTTTATGACTCTTCTTAAATGAATTAACTTAAGAAACTCCACAGATTAAAGCAGTTCTAAGGTACTACCTCATACCTATTAGGTTGGCTAATAGGACAGAAAAAGTAAATGACAAATGTTGGAGGGAATGTGGGAAAAATGAAACTTTAATGCATTGTTGGTGGAGTTGTGAACTGATTCAACCCATTCTGTACAGCAATTTGGAACTATGCCCAAAGGACTATAAAACCAGGCATACCCTTTGACTTAGCGATGTCACTGCTAAGTCTATATCCTGAAAGAAATAAAAAACAAAAAGGAAAAGGACCTATATGTACAAAAATATTCACAGCAGCTCTTTTCTGGGGGTAAAGAAGTAAAAGTTGAGGTGAAGCCCATCAGTTGGGGAATGGTTGAAGAAGTTATGGTACGCGATTAAGATGGAATACCATTGTGCTATAAGAAATGATGAGCAACATGCTCTCAGAAAAACCTGGAAAGATTTGCATGGGCTGATGCAAAGTAAAATGTACTGTGTACAAAGTAATAGCAATATTGTAAAATGATTATCTGTGAATGACTTAGCTATTTTCAGTAATACAATGATCCAAGACACCTCTGAAGGACTTATGATGAAAAATGCTATCCATTCCAAGAGAAAGAACTGATGGTGTCTGAATATAGATTGAAGCATACTTTTTTTTTTTAACTTTCTTCATTTTTCTTGAGTTTTTTTTAGGTCTATATTTTCTTTCACAACATGACTATTATGGATATATTTTTCATGACTACACATGTATAACCTATATCAAATTGCTTGCCTTCTCAATGAGGGGGCTGAGGAGGAAGAAAGGGAGAGAATTTGGAACTCAAAGTTTTAAAAACCAATGTTAAAAATTGTTTTTTTTCATGTAACTGGGGGAAAATAAAACACTAAATAAAAGCTAAAAAAAAAAAAGAAACTCCACAGAAACTAAAAACATGGGTGACTTTGACTGCATTGAAATTTGAGACTATTATTTTGACTTTTCCAAAATTAAGGTGTTTTAAAAATTAAAAAACAAAAAACAAACTCAATATCCAATCCCTCCCAATGCCAGAGCCAAGTAACTTCCATACTATGTATATTTTTCTAAGATATGTATCATTATCTAAGGGGAGGTACCTTTAACTATTTAGGTCTCCATGGGTGACTAAGAAACATTAAGTAAAGTGCAGTAATAACTTTGTTAAGAAGATAGCTGACTGGTCAAAGTTTTTGGTTTATAAACAGGCCTATTCTGAGCTAGAGGCCTTGAGTGCCTTCTGAGACTTCTTTGGAAAATTAGTCCTCATCTGGAAAAAGTCAGGCATCCCTGAAGAAAAAAAATCTGCTCATCTACATGAAAAGGTTTCCATAGTGACTACTGATTATTTGTACATTCCACAGCAAAATTCAGAAGGAGGAAATGGTGGAAGTTTAAGGGTGTGCAGTCTCTAAACAGTTTATTCCAAAACTGAAGGAAGAGATGGTCTGAAGTACTCTTGCGAAATGTGAGAATGGCTTATTTAGGGATTAGCAGGCATTAGAGTGATTCCCCTCTCCTCCCTGCCTCTCACTCTAAATGGAGAGGCAAGGTGATGCTGCTGGGGAAGGAGAAAAAGGTAAGAAAGAGAAAAAGAAGTAGGAAGATTTGTTTTTGTAGTAAGTCTGGTGATGGAGACTCTAGATGCTTAGGGGGCAGTCAGAGGAAGACAGGACCTGACTAATACAAGAAAAGACAGGCTCTGGTTGTGAGAGACCCGTTTGCTTCAGAAAGGATAAATGAAAACTTTGGAATTAAGGCTTTAAAGGAACTTAAGAGGGACCCCCTTCCCACCCCTACATCCAGCTGCCAAATTAAGAACCAAAAGATACTAGGATCATAGAATTTAGAACTGGATGGGATTATAGAAGTCATCTAATCTAATGCGTTCATTTTACAGATGAGGGAACAGAGGCAAAAGAGGTTAAATAACATGTCAAAGCTCACGTGTTAGCAGAGTTAACATTCAGACCTAGGTCCTCAACTCCAAATTCAGTCTTCCTTCTTACACTTGGCTTCGTTACTGTAGACCCCAGAAAGTGTTCTGGAGGTGCAAGCTGTCCTATTTAGAGGTTCAATTCTACAGAATTAAGTTGAGCTAATTGAGTTCATAGCATATATAGTTCTGGACTTTATATATTGGTAGGATCATGGGTTTAGAGCTGGTAGGAACTTTAGATCAGGGAGACCTCAAGATGTTCATAAACTTGGAGGGGGAAATTATAATTTTATTTTTTCTCACTTCTAACTGAAATTTAGCATTTCCTTCAATTGTTTAACAACATGACTTCTGAGAAGGGTCCATAGGCTTTACCAAATTGCAAAAGCAGTCTATGGCACAGAAAGAATCAAGAAGTCTTTCTTTAGGAAAACCACATAGTCCAACTCCTTCCTTTTACAAATGAAGAAACTGAGGCTTAGAGAAGTAAAATCAATTGCCTAAAGTCATACAGGTAATAAGAAATTGGCAGAGACTGTTTTTGAATCTGTGACCTCTGAGTCTGAATCTAGTGATCTGATTAACAGAGTAGCCCATGAAACTAGTTTATAATTTACAAGGTAAAATAGCTGAATGAAAATTGAGTTGGAACTGAAGAGAGACAACTCCACAAGAATGAAGGAATTAATGGAAAAGCATTTTAAAGGGGGTAATTATGTACACATCACTGTGTTAAATGCTGAGGATATAAAACAGTCTGCTCTCACTGAGCTCACATCTGAGTAGGGACAGACAACACACATAGAATGCTTCTGACACAGATTAGATGGCAGAGTCCAGTATTCCTTAGGGTATAGTGACAAAGCAGGTGGTAAGGACTCTTTAGTGCAATTTTCACTGATAAAACCATATCCATTTTCGATCTTGAATTGTGCGACAGTACCAAGGACTTTGATAGCGAAAGCTTTCTTTTCTGGCTCTTCAATAGATGTGAGAGGTGGGGGGTGGGGAGCTGAAGAGGCTGTTGTCAACCTCTTCATTTCTACAAGGGTTACTTCCCTATAGATAATCACTGTAGGTATGTTCCAGGGAAGGGTTGGAAGCAGGGCCAGTGGTCTGAGACACATACTGTCCAGGGCTCTTGGGTTTACCTGCCTGCAGGTTGGTGCTCAGCAGTTGGTGGTGGCAGCGAGTATGGTAGGTCCCTTCTCCACAACGTTCCCTCCCTTGATGAGGGTTGTGTGGGCTAGTCTGGAAGGAGGGTCACTGGTGGGTAAGGAAAGATGCTACTTTTTCCGGGGCTCTGGGTCCTGGGCTATCATCAATGGGTCCGAGGGGAGGGTGTAGTTGAGTTGGTGGCAATGGCTTGAAAAGCCTGGTACTCCCTGCCTCTTGCCTCTCCCTCTGAGTATCTTGCTGCTTCAGCCAGGAAATTATATATCCCAAAATGGCTTTGAACACATTGGTCCAGAGAAAATGACTACCTTATGGAAGTTGTAAGAAATGCTCTAATCAAAGGCAGGAGCATGCCAGTCCTACCCAGCTAGTCTCAGCTCAGCTTTGCCTCAAAAGCACGATCATAGTTTGAAATTCAAGTAGTGTAAATGAGAAATGTCACAATTTGTAAAAGTAAAAACACTCTCAGCCTGAGGTTATAGGGACTGGGAAAAACCTTTAACATCTGAAAGAACACTGTCCAGTGGAGGAGAGGCCATTCAATCATTGCCCAGAACTTTCCCCAGGCTCAGATACCACTGTGGACTTGTATTCATCCATTACAGGAAAGCTCACGACGTGCCAACTGTCTAATTGTGGTAAGAAGTAGGGTTGACATTACAACTGTAATTTTTCAAGACCTAAGCCATCACTCAAACTTATAAACATACACAAAGAAGTTTCATTCCTTTAAATATTTAGGGAAATAAATGAGCGAAGCATAGAAAACACAAGAAATCAGCCTAAATCACTGCAGTCTCTTGCAAAATGTTCCCAAAGCCTCAGAGTCAGTAGCTCATTGGCACACGTTACGTCTATCACGGTCCTAACTGAGATATAAAGATGAAAAAAGCTCATGAGAGGAGACAGAAGTAAAGGGAAAGGAATGGAGAAGATGGGAAAGAAAAAGAAAAGAGATCTATCTCTACTGTTGAAATATCTGTGTTGAAAGCTCAATGTATTTCACAATAGCTTAGAGTTTATGCCACTCACCACAATCAGTATTTCTGAAATCCCAAGTTGGTGCTGACAATAAATATGGCAATCTTTAAGAAGACCACACAGATTTGAAGAGTTCAAAATCAATATTATAAACACAAGAAAGGTTAGGAAAGTAGCTGCTAATGGGACCAAGATAGTGATAAATTTTAGGCTGTCACTGAAAAAGAACTGTCACCAATCACTTAAAAAAAAAACCCAAATGCATCGCTTCCTATATTCCCACTCATATGTATGACAAGCTGCTTCCTTTCTAACAAGAAAAAAGTATTGTGGAGTAAGGAACTGGGAAAAGACAATCTGGTCCAGTGAGACCCAATTCAAAAAGTACAGATAATTAGTAAACTTTACAGATATTAGGAAATACAAGTTTTTAGAGAGCAAGGACAGTATGAAGAAATAAAAGGGCTATTCTAACATCTTGAAAAATAAGTAGAATGATGTGGCTTCTCTCTTCAAGAATGGAAAAAAAAACCCCAATCATATGGCTAACTGGAAATAGGGCAAAGCAAAAATGGTGGTATTCCTAGGGTTAAGATACATGCTTTGAAAATCTAGAAGGTAAAAGAAAACTAACTGGATCTCTGTATATCAAACAAGTCAATTGAATGTTGAGGATTATTTTTTTTTTTGAGAGAATCAAACCAATTAAAGTTGTGGAGAAAAAAAAACTTAAGCAAGTTAGAAGCATAGAGTAGGAAAGGAAAAAATACCAAGAAAAGAGGACATAATTAAGATGCTTGAAATGAGAAGGCTTCATCAGAAGACAAAACAAGAGGATGAGCTAAAAAGCTCAATTGCTTTTAAAGAGGATTCAAAAGAGAAGACCTAGGAAATCAGAACAAACACAAGAAGCAGCAGGTTGGAGATTATCAAAAATGGAGCTGAGAAATCTGTGGCAAAAGTTGCCTGTACACTATTCAAGAGCATTTAATTAATTTCTCTTGGAGGCAGCCACAACACTCTCTTTGGGAACAATTAGCACAGACATGTCCTTGATTAAATCCTTTCCACTTCTATTAAGGGCGGCTGGAAGAGAAGAGAATCTTTTACCTTATCACTGGGTAGTATGGTGGCAAGAGTACATTTTGCTGAGAACAGTATTCTGAAGACTTCTGTATTCTAGGGATTTGTGATTTAATCAGTTTGAGAAAGCTCTCTTTACCACACACAAAATAATTCCTTCACACTTTAGACAAGTATCTCCATTGGTTGCTATGTCCACAAAACCTAATCTTGTGGCTGCCAAAGTTCTAGAGAAGGGTCTCTCCCAACAGTGCCATATGATGGACACAAAGCTGGGCACTGACTAAGTTTCCAGCCTAGGGTCATTTCCTGTTCATCCAAAGGCTTTCAAATACTTTTCCATACTTACTCTTTTGATTGATTGAGAATTTTTATTACCTGATTAAGGTATCAGAGCTAAAATGGGGAGGGTGGGTTTTTACCCCAACCCTTACACATAAAACTATGGTTATCATCCCAAATCAAATTTAAATGAATATCACCATCACAAAATTAAACAATAATCGCTAATTTACTTTTAGTGTTGATAAAACCTCATAGGACTTGAAGAGTGTACACACACATATACAAACACACACAAATCAATTTTTTACCAAATGACTATTCATTCAAAGCAGTGAATGCAAATTCAATGTTGAAATGCTAAACTTATCTGTAGCTTCCACTCTCTGCCGCCAAAGCACCATCACAAAAGCAGCAGCCTCCACAAAGCTTGGCAGCCAGGGGCAACGATGCTGAACATCATGACATATATATCTAAGAACTCTGCACAACATCTGTACTGCATCATCACTTGTTACTAGCAAAGTAAGAATGATGTCCTTCTGTCAAACTACTGTATTACCAATGATCCAACATAATTCTGAAGGACATAAGATGAAAAATGCTATTCAACTCCAGAGAAAAAACTGATGGAGTCTGAATGTAAATCAAAGTTTACTTTTAAATTTGTTTCTTTATTTTTCTTGTTGTTATTGTTTTGGTCTGTGTTTTCTATCACAACATGACCAATATGGAAATATATTTTGCATGACTTCACATATATAACCTGTATCAAATTGCTTGCCTTCTCAATGAGGGGGGAGGAGAAGGAGGGAGAGAATTTGGAACTCAAAATTTTAAAAAACAGATGTTAAAAATTGTTTCTATGTGTAACTGGGGAAAAATAAAATATTAAGCTAATATATTTTTAAAAAACAAATGACTGTATTACTATTAGGTTTAATTTTAGTAAAAAGCCATATATGTGGTACTGCATACATACACACATACTATACACACATACACATACATACATACATACATATAAATGCGTTCTGGTTTAGAAAATGAATATTACCATCACAAAATAAAACAACAATCACTAACTTACTTTTAGTGTTGATAAAACCCCACAGGACTTGAAAAGTACATCGGAGTGCACGCACACACGTTTGTGTGTGTGTGTGTGTGTGTGTGTGTGTGTGTGTATAAAAACACAGATGGTTCCCCATTTTCTTTCCTTTTATTCCTTCTCCTATAAACAAGTCTAAACTTCACAGGAGTTTAAAAAGAAACTCAGAAGGAATGAAAAATGGGAGAATTCTGGAAAGGTCTTCACCCACTCAGAAGCAATGGCATGAAATTTAAGCCCTTCAGAAAAAAAGTGGAATACAGTTCAGTGTTCCCAAATACCATTCTTACATGCACAGTGCTTTGTTTACATTCCTGTAGAAAATCATCCCTAATGAGTACACTGTTTTACTTCTTCCCATTAATGGTCTGTGAAAACAGAATATCAACTGGAATATCAGTCAATATTCTACAGACAGAGAGAATTATCATTTCAGTATGAAAAAGGTACCCAGGTTTCTGAGTAAGTTACACAAGCCATCTCCAGGTTTCTCAAAGAAAATCCACAGATATCACTTACTCTTCATTAAGTGCACAGCGCCGGGTGGTTGGGCAGCCATATTTGTTGAGACTCTGGGTCAGCTCTTGATATAATGTGTCAGCCAAGAGATGAGGAATTCCCTCCCAAGCCAAGATGAGGATGACAATGACAGCTGTCTGGCAGTGGTGGCCTGCACGCTGGCGAACCAGGCAGAGGAGTTTTTCTTCATCACTGCTTCTTCTTATTACCTGCAAAAGCCAATTGTATTCAACATTGAGTTTAGAAAGAAAAGGCTGATCAGAGTCCAGCATGATGTCTTTTAGGAATCTAATAAGGGTGATCCCTTTCCATTTAAAAATTATCCTTTCTGTAAAGAAAGTGAAGCTAGCTCTTTAAAGTACTTCCTGATTTTTTTTACTTGTTATTTGGACATTTCTCTCCTCAAACCCCCAACAAATATTCCGTCCGTGATTCCAATTCCTTAGGTAACTTCTCCTAAAAGGCTGTGGGGGTTATACCAAGAGAAGAGTTACTAAGTGTCAGCTAGGAGGTGAATAGTGATTTACATTTCTTAAGATTCATTTTGGACTTGCTGCCAATAAGCAGTGGAATATTGGTCCCCAGTGAAGATCACAGGGGAGAAGAGTCCCAAAGGAAATGCAAAAACTCACACAATACTGCAAATCACCAACATTTCATTGAACTGAGTCAACACACCAAATACCAAACTATTAACACTTCCTAGCACTCCACAACCCACTGATGAGCTCTATATTTGTTGGCAGAAAGTCAACTGGCCAGTCAAATTAATCAGCAAAAGTCTCCTATTACTGGCACTCCCATTTTAAACTCCTGATGTAATCCTCACTCCTTACGAGGTACATTTTCCTAGAGAACATCCACAGAGATACTCCCACCATTTTCTACAGAATGTTAGCAACTTCTTCAGATTTGTGTGTGTGTGTGTGTGTGTTCCTCTTGTTGACAGTGATCTTACTGTGTGTACAAAGAGTTCTACAGAAGCTCAGTGCTGGTATATTTAGTGGAGTTAGTTTATGATGCAAACAAATGCTAGATGGGTCACACAGCAATGACAATTTATCAACATATAGTGAGAACAAGAGATGCACTGTCCATCTTAAAAACTGATCCTCTAAGAGCACAAACAGTTGATACAAACCATTGGACTGGCTATTTAGAGAGAAATAGAAACGGCAAGTACAAGGTCATCAATTCCAATATTCAGGCAACAATACATGCATGTGAATGGAAGAGAGTCCTGTGGGTCATTCCTGGACATCAAGGTACCATTCCTAAGATTTATATTTATAGTAACATTTATAGTAATATTTGTTTGGATAGAGAAGTGAAATAACCCCGAAGAAGAGACAGAGGAAGAGATTTTACAGGTAGTTCAAACCATTGTCACCTTCTTAACCACCACCTCCCTTCAAATCACATTGGAGAAAGCCCAAGACTCCAAGCCCAAGGGTCTTGGGAATAGCAGTGCCCTCAGACCCCCGGGCTTGCTTCCAGCCTGGCCTCACAGCCATCATGATGGGAGGCAATTCTTATGAAGAAAGGACCAGTCATCAATACAATTTCCAACACCAACTGCTGACCAAATACAGGGCACATAAGTAAGCCCTGGTACAATATCCTCCCTACCCTTCTACCCCCAACACACACACACACACACACACACACACCGACCATGGGTTAGTGTGCCCTCTACAGCAAGCATCTAGAGAAGGACTGGAAACTGTCTCGGCAAGTACAGCAGCCTCTACCTCCCCAGCAGCCACAACTACTCACAACATAGAAAAGAGCTTTCACCACTCAAGTTCTTGGCATTGTCAAATGGCTCAATATCAGAAAGGAATATAGTTTTATCAATGCAAATTGCATTAAATATGCATTACCATCTGCTTTGTCGCTGTACTTTAAGGACCACTGAGCCTGGTCATTTTGACTTGCAGTTGAAACCCTCTATTTGCATTATCTCCCTTTATTAGGATGTGAGCTTTTTGAGAGCAGGTACTGTCTTATTTTTATTTTTGTCTACAGAGCTTTTCCATGTGGTTTTTCCACAACCTGGAACCCCAACAGACACAGCTTAAAAACCAGTGAAACAGAGTTTGATTAAATTTGATGAAGTTTGATTGAACTAAAAAATTTCTTGGGCACAGTCCTAACACCTTAGAAGACAAATAAAGATTTGGTAAAAATAAAATGCATTAGAGCAACAGCCAGCCCAAATCACCAGATTCAAAACCAAAAACCAATTTCCATGACCAAAGGTCTGTTAGTGGACAAAGATGATCAGCTAACGAAACCTCAAACATGCAGATGCCTCAAGGAAACAAAACTGCTCAATATAAAGTGCAAAGTAGCCCAGACAGAAGTGAAAATCCAAATATATAGATTTATGGTGAAAACTGGCAGGGTATTCCTACAACTGAAAAAGACCCAGGGGTCAAATTTAATAGAGGACAAGAAAGGATTTGAAATAGAAAAAAAATCTTCAGCCTAAACCAGAGGCGGAGAACCTGCGACCTTGAGGCCACTTGTGGCCTTTTAGATCTATTGGTGGTACCTTTTGACTGAGTCCAAGTTTTACAGGACAAATCCTTTTATTAAGGGGATTTGTTCTATGAAGTATGGATTCAGTCAAAGGGCTGTACTTGAGGACCTAGAGGGCCACATATGGCCTTGTGGCTGCAGGTTCCCCTCCCCTGGCCTAAACCCTTCATTTTACAGTTGAGGAATATGAGGAACCAAGATAGTTAAATGATTTATCAAAAACTGAAGTGAAATAGGAAAGTACCACATAGTGTAATAATTCAAAAAGGTAGCATGATTCTAAAATGTAACAAAAGGAATATTAGCTATGAAAATCAGGAATTAATCCTCCCACTATACCTGACGTGGGTCAAGCATCTATTAAAGTACTGAGTGCTTTGGATTATTTTTTTTAAATTTAAGGATGTGGAAAAATTAGAGAAAGTCCCAAAGAGAGTAACTAAGATAACTATGTATGAAAAAAGGAACTAGGAGATGGAAATGATTTAATCTGAAAGCAGGAAAGGTGATGACTAGTTTCCTCACAGTACCGAAAGAGTTGTATGGAGAACACCTAATCAATTATTCTACAGCTACACTGAAAAGAAAAAAAAAAGAGCTTAAGTTTCACTGAAAGAAATTTAGGTCAGAGATTAAGAACAACTCTTCTACAGGAAAAATTGTTAAGTACTACAGCTCAGGTTCAAACATCTTAATCCCCTCCTCAATTAATGTCAGTAGCTCCCTATTACTTTTAAGATTAAATATAATCTCTTCTGTTTGGCATTTAAAGCCATTCATTCACAACCTGGCCCCACTCACCTATCTAGTCTTATTATACATTATTCCCCTTTGCATTATCTATTCTCCAGTCAAACTGGAAAGAGTAAGTGCTTAAAAACTTATTGTTGACTTGTCAAACTGGCATTCTTTCTGTTCCTCAGAGTCTGCATTCCACATTCTCTGTCTGTGCCTGAATTGCAGCTGTCCATCATGGCTGGAATTGGTTCTCTCCTAATGTCTGCCTCTTAGAATCCCTAATCTCCTTAAAGGGCATCCCAAAAGACCATCTCCCGCACAAGCCTTCCCCTCTCTGTATGAATGCAGGTCCTCTGACTCCACATTCAGTTCCTTTTTACCACCATGTCTTGTTGGAAGATCTTTAAGAATATTCTAGAGAGAGTATTGAATACGCCATAGGAATGGCCAATATGTGAAGGTAGGTGGCTTGACTCAATGATATCTTTTCATAATTATCTTGTACTTATTTCTTCAATAAGAAAAACTGGTACCTCCAGCTCATGTATGAGTGCAAAGCACAATATTGCCCTTTGAACACAGACATAATTACTGAATGTTTGTTGAGCACCTACTATGTGCCTGGTATTACAGTATCAATTATGAGTTTCAGTATTTCAAGGATCTATGATTTCACCTGTGTGGGCAAGCTAAGTGCTTTACAAACATTTCATTTGACACAACAACCCAATTAGATAGGTGCTATTATGATCCCATTTTATAGTTGAGGAAACTAAGAAACAGAGGTTAACTGACTTGCCCAAAGTCACAAAGCTAGTAAATGTCTAAGGCTGGATTTGAACTAAGGTCTTTCTGACTCCAAGTCTAGCACTCCATCCACTGGGAAATCAGGACATAGTTTTATGAGTTGCTGCAGTTCTCTCCACCAAAAAAATTAATACCAGGCAACCAACCCTTTGGTGATAAGTCTAGATATTAGCTAGGTTGGTTCTCAAGTAACAGTCTCATTCTTTATCACCATTTCTGTATACTCATCCTTTCCAGATTGATAGGATGTATCAACACTTAAATTCTGCTGGATGCCCTTCAAAACCCAGAATCACCACTACACTGCCAAGAGTCACTGACATAGGTCTAGATGAAGGATACAGATGGAAGTCCAATAGGCTCCTCACATTTATGAAGTTCAAAATGAGACAAACAAAACAAGCAAGTAAAGACAACTGCATTCTAATGTCATTCAGTATGCCTAACCCTTCCTTAACATAAGAGACTTTTTGTTATCCAAGGCAAAAAGACACCTAATAATTTGTTTTTTCTTTATTCTAAGTCAGTCTAGGTGGTAGCAATGCTACCAACACTTTCATGAATACATTCTCCCTCACTAGATCCAGTGTAGGACCCTCTGTCAATTCTTCCAAAATAACAATAACATGCTGGCTGGGAGGCCTGAGCAGATTAGCAGCTCTGAACAACAACTCCATAAGCATAGCTAATAAACATCAACAATAAACAGTACAGATATTTTCCTGGTGTCTGTCTTCAAAGAGCTAAAATCTTGCTAAAGAAGGAATCTTGGAGTCTTTTTTTTAAAAATAGTTTTCAAGTAACGAAAATCCCCATTCTTTCCCTCCTCCCTTCCCTGCTGCCCATTGAAAAATAAAGAAAACATACATACTGACACATATCAAATATAAGAATGTATAGTCCAACTAGTTGGTCATGTGAGCAACAAGACGGTGGACTAGATATTTCCTCTGATTCACATAACTTCACAAAATCTCTGCATAACCAAAATTACGCGCCAAAGTTAAAGCAACTTCAGCTGTTCTCCATGGTCTAGGATACCCAAAATCCAAAATAATGTTAACACCACCCCCCAAAACCCAAGCACTCACACTCACTGACTCTGAGCTCATTCATCACC